GATCAAATTTTTGTGGGGGTAACAAAACAAATCACCATCATAGTCTTGTCATTTAAGTGTAACTTTTATCAATAAATCTAGAAAAAAAAGCTTCTCTGCGAAATAGGTTTAAAAACTTGAACAACGTCACTGTCCTGTTGAGTCCTCAGATCTAATAATCTGTTTGTCTCCCAAATATCTGCAGTCACCGTTAACCTGCCGTTCCTCCATTACTCACTTCGCCTCCTTCTTTCTCCGAAGTCCCACAAGAATTTATTTCCACCATTCTGCCTGCTTTAATGAACCTGCAACAAACACATCCTCAATCTTGTATTTAGACACGTTTATGAAATACTTAAAGCTGAGGTTCCTTCTGTCGGTTAAAGGAAGTACAGAAAGCGGTTTTGTTTATTCATCGTTGTTTTAAAATGCTCCTGTCTGTGTTTACAGCTGATGCAACATGCTGCTGCGCTAATACCTCTACTTAATCCTCCCAACAGAACAGTAAGCAAACGGAGATATTTTACGTAAACGACGCTGGCCACTGAAGCTTTAGGACAACAAACGTAACAATATGAAYCTGCTGAGCTTGTCTTATCGACAACGTGAACCCATAAACATGAAGACTGGCCCGAGGGTCCACTTTAATCCTGTGGTTCACTGAGATTGGATCATGTGGAATGATTGCTCTCATGTTGCATCATCACCCGCAGGATGAAGAATAGTCATCCTAATGGGTGTACCAACCCCTGTGCTGAAACATAAGACCCATTTCCCAGCTTCGTGTGATCAAAGCCTTGGGTTAAAGCGAAGGGATGAGCTGGCAGGTGATCACAGGTTGCGGGGGTCACCGTGGTTGCCGGTTTGTCTAATCAAGTCAGCGGGCTGCTGTGGAGGTAAGGTGAAGGTCAGGGTGGATGCTGCAGCTGTTGTCCCAACCCCCCGCTGCCTCCATCATCATCTTCCTCTGGTCAATGACCTTCTTTACCATTGACAGCTTACTCAATAACTATTACTCTTAACTGGACATGAAGTGGGTGGACCCCGCTGGACTGCTAATCGCACAATCAATTGGTGGCCGTAAAACAGCAGTGAGCTCATTGGTGAAATATATTTGTATATGAAGTGGGACGGTAACCAGATCACAGAGACGAATACATTAAAAGGGTAGAAAATTGGTGCAAATAACACACCTATCAGCTTAGATTCAAATATTACCCCTGGCTGTTTAAAGAGGTTGAGTTTAAAACTGCATTTTAGTTTTTAAACTATTTTTCTGTCTTAATTGTACAGAGCGTCCCCACACCTCAGTGGCCTTTGTCCTGTTATAGCAGACGTTACAAGGAACAGGCCGTTCCTTTGTTGTCTCAGCCTATGGGCACAATGCTATTGGTCTGCATGCTTGGTAATGTATGGATGACGAAACACACACACACACACACACACACACACACACACACACACACACACACACACAAAACGTGGAAATCCTCTGGATGAACAAGAAAGAGAAACATTGCCACCTATTGGTCACAGGTTGTCACTGCATGTCAAGAATATTATTATGCACGCCTCATCGATGATGAAACAAATGCAGCTCTCAGGTCTTTTGCCTCATTACTGCTCCTATTTGTGCTTCAGTTTGAGAAATACTCAATACTTATAATTAAATCATCTATTTATTAATCTAATTAAAGTCTTATTTATTAAAGTAAATTAACAAAATCAATAGTTTGACAAAAAGCACCACACTGTAAGGCAGGGGTGTCAAACTCATTTTCACCGAGGGCCACATGAGTGTTATGGTTGCCCTTGATGGGCCAGTTGTAGTTAACGTTGACATTTCATGTTTAACTTTGATTAAACAGTATTTTAACATGTCCTCTTTTAAACACTTCTGTATGACTGACTGAATC